AAAAAAAATCCCACGGGATTACATACCATACCGCACTACATGTGTTAAATCAGTTTTATAAAAAATCTTAGAGCACTCTTTTTAAATCGGATTACCTTGAACTGTATACTGTATTTCAAGCTGGCAGAGAAGAACTTGTTCCGGCTTATCTGTTATATTGTACATAAGTTGTAATAAGAATACAAAATCAATATAAAAATACTTTGCCAGTCTTCTTTAAATTTGAGATTACATCTCCAACGAAACTTCAACAAAAGCCCATCGTGCCAAAAGTTCTCTATGACTCCACATACTCCGGCAATAATTTTACTACGCGGTTAATATCCTACCCGAATTCATAACTTCACCCCTGTCCCATACACTGTACCTACGTCTAATCCTTGCTCTAAACTACACCAATTGAAAACCCTTTTTTGTACAGTCATTAGCATATATCTTCACGGAATAAAAAATTGGAGCAAATCCCTCCAGACCAATATCTGATTACCCATCGCTAGAGATCACTGTGTATTAATCATTAATCGACTTGCATTTTATCAGTATGTATCAGCGAGAACAAACTCCTCGCAATCTGACATGTGGCCTACTTGGAAGCCAATACACGCATCGTGCCATAGTCCATTTAACCTTAGCAGCAAAAATAGGATATGTTCATGAGATTCAGGAGTGTATAATCAATTAGACTAAATACTATGATGACTTGTGTACCCTTGTCGTCACAAACGGTGCTGAACCGTATCATGAATGCAGCAAAAATAGAAAATGCTCCAATTCTGTCTTCTTAATCTAAAAGTAAACCATCTTTGTAATGTAATTGAGGTGGGTTTAACAGATGTTTTAGGATTCAATTACCACCTGTCTTAGCTTCTCACCATCATGCACGGTCTGGAAGAAATGTTGACACAATTTTCACGGTTTTTGTTAATTACTTTCCAAGTTGAATTCACGATCCACTACCGTAGTGCAGTGGCGTATGGCGTATACACGGAGGAAGGTAGTATTCGCCCTTATCCAATTCGACAGAAAGAAAAGACCCCGCCCCACCCCCACCCCCCCCCCCCAAAAAAAAAAACTGAGAGAAGAAGAGATTAAGACTTGTGGAGGAGAAGATGCGACCCGATCCTAGACCCTAGTTCTACTTTCTCTCATACCGTCCACCTCAAAATAAATCTCCCCTCCCCCCAAGAAAAAGAAGGAAAAAACACGCAATATACACCTGAATACACCTCTCCAAGTAACATAAATATGGAAATGGGCAATCTGAATTTTGAACAAAATTACATTGTACGTAAATATTATTTCTGTATCAATTAAGTTGTTTGGTTCTTTTCCCCCAACCCTCCCCACTGCCCATCCCTTCCCGTATCCCTTCCCTGTTCTCCCATCTTCGTACCGTGCTCTTGCATCATGTATTATTTGTATATTGCGTTGTTCTGTGTGGGCGAGAGTGCGTGCGTGTACTTGCGTGTGTCCGTGTGTGTGTGTGTGAGAGGTATTCAATTTACAATCCTTTGTGTTCCATGTCGGCCTCTGCATTTTCATAGAATTTTTCTTTTCTTTTTGTTGTCTTGGATTTTTTTCTCGGGTGTTTGGTAAATTTTTTAAAAATCGAATTATGCAATATTTTGTACATTATGGAAAAGTTAAAGTAATTGTTAGGTCTTTACGATCCAAGGCATATTGTACATTTAAGTAATCATTATTGGAGTAGTTCTGTAGCGATAACTGGATACCCCACAATCAAAAGCACCCCTTAGTTAAGCCTGAATTGTTTGTTTAAACAGTTATAAGTAATAATTCAGATAATTGTGCACAATCGTACAATCGAACCCCCCCCCCCGAGGTGCCCCTTAGGTAAGACTGATTAAATATATATTTAGCTATTTCCTGTGGCACATTCAGTAACTACATGTACGTGTTAAGGGACACGCTCCACATGGTTTAAATAGCATGACCTCATTTGACATATAATGCTCTTATATACACAAAATAATACCTGATGCATTATATCCAATTTCTGTTTAGACTAATGGCTGAAATTGATATATGCTGTACTATCATTAGATTATATCTACATCAGGGTATTGAATTTGCCGGAGCACCCGATAGGTATGACTGATGAACATCATAGTTATATTTTGGGCGCCACTTCGGTTAAACCGGGGCATCATTTATTTACAGATCGGATCCCCGGCCTGTATTACAACTCTAACGCAACTATCGTGTGTGCGAGATCTAATCATACAATTTGTGAATGTGATGATTATGTTCCCAAAAAATTTACTTCATTGGTGTGTTCTTCTCACCAGGAAAAGAATCAAAGTTAAGTAGGATTTTCTTTCACATTAAATGATATTCACAAGCTTTTAGATCACCCAACAGACAGAGTGTAAGGCTCGTTCAGGTTTGCCGCAGTTTAAAAAACATTTTATGAATGTGAAGACGCTACCCCCTCCATTAATAAAATAGAAAAGCTTTCATTCTATCAAAAGTTATAAAACGTCAACTCATGCAACGTAATTAATTTTAGCCTATATTTTGGGGTGACATGTAGTGGGGATGGACAATATGTGTGTGGGGAAGGGGTTGATAGGCATGATGTGTAGCATTTAGAAACGCTTTTCACATGGCCCTGCTTAACTTGATTTTTTATGTCGCCATTCGTTATTTCCAAACAACCAATTTTAATGATGTACACAGAGGGATGTAGTTCTGTTCCTGACCTAGAAAGTTTTTGTTGGTTTATTTGCATTGTCTGGCCCCAGCGTGTAAACGATGTCTACAAAATAAGGCTGCGACCATTTCTTTTGAAAATTGCCAATTAAATCTTCAAGGCTTACTTTATTTTGAACAATGCATGTTATACAGTGGGCTGTTATGCAGTATCGACATCTACAATATTGAAGTGAAAATGAATGTCATCTTTGGTATGCATCATTATTTGTTTCAATCGGCCCGATGAACAAACATGATTTATCGCCCTCCTCCCTCTCCTTCTCTCGCAGTCTCGTCAATTCTCTCTCTCTCTCTCACTCACTAACCCTCTCTCTCTCTCTCTCTCTCTCTCTCATGCATGTCTCTCACTATCTTGCCCTCTTGATCCCTCTCACCCCTTCTCTCTCCCTCTCTCTCTCTCTCTCTCTTTCTCTTTCTCTGTATCTCTCTCTAGCTCTCATTCACGTCATCTCTCTCTCTTTCTCCCTCTCTCCTGATATCCTATTCGTTATGTTGCTCTGTCGTCATGACCGTATTTTTTTTCACTTCCTTATGCCATTTCACATTGCCATTCTAAATTGTACTTCATGTAATATATCTTATCTTATTTTAAACAAAATATTTTCGCCCGAAGCATTTTACCCCCGATTCCAAATCATGTCTATTAGTAGTCATCTACAAATATTTGTTATTTTCACTTTTCTCTATCTCTTTATCTTTTTCCGTCTATCTATCTCTCTTTATAAACTTGTCAGTTCTGGATGCAACGCAGCATGCTCCTGATCTATTGTATTCCTAGAACTGCAGTCCCAATTACATAGGCTCCGTCTCCATTCGATTCAACACCAGAACCCGAACCTTGTGTCTCTATCTCCCTAGTCGCAATTCATTTCTAGTACTGCAGTTCATGTTTAGGTTCCGTCCACACTTGAACTGCATTATCTGCATCCCTCTTCATTAGTCCCATCTCCATGTGGTCTATAACATTGCATTATATTGCTAGAAACTGCAGTAAAGTAAAGTTCCCCCCATATTTGAACTTTACTATCTTCACTCCTTTCGGCCTCAAACCGATCGGTCCATAATACCACATTATTTGTATAATTCCAAGAATATATAGTTCAAGTTTAAGTTCACCTCCATATTTGAGATGCATCATTATACATGCTTCTTCCCTTGTCCCATCTCGCTGTGGTCTATAACAGCACATTAATTGTATTCCTAGAATAATTGTAGTTCAAGTTTAGTTTCCATCCGTATTTCAATTATATTTTTTTGTCGAAGGACGTATGTGACCTCAATGCAATCTTCTCGATAATTGGAATGGTTATTAAAGTAAAAGGAGACCTTCGGTGCGCGCATCATTAATCCCTAATTGCCCATTTCTTCCTCAGTCCACTTTCATTTCCTGGGACTTGTAATATTGTTTCATTAATGATGTGTTAGCAACTTCACAGTTTACCGTAAGTTCACAAGACCGAAGGCCCGCCAAAGGGAAGTCCGAAAACTCACAACACTGAATTTCTCGGTCTCGCTGTCCATTTGGTTTCGTGAACCTGTATTTGATTAGAAAATGTGAAAATGTGCAAAGTCTTTATTTGGCTTGCTATTTCGATTGTGAAGATACCCATGTTTAAAATGAGGAAAACATCTGCTCTTAATATACATCTGTCTTCATTTAAATTTTATATCTACATTTACATCATCATGATAAAAATTCATTAGTCCTCGGTCATGGAAATTCATCATTCCACTAATTTGCTAGCCAATATTTGACTAAAATCTAATTTGTAGTTTTCAACAAGCTTTCGTAAAGTTTTCTCGGTCTAAACCACTCCTTCTTGTATTGAAATTGATTATTTACTTTTAAAAATGAATTATAGACAGTTTCTTTCAAAATTCAATTTTACTGCGGGTGTACCTACTACAGAATATATTTCAGGGTCAGTCCAAGGTATGCCCAAAAGGTTACCGACTACATCATGGATTGAAGGATATCTGGTGATATCTGCTGGTATATGCTGGTATCTAAAGTAGATAGCTTTACTTGCGTTTGCATCGGGTAAAATATTAATTAAAATGATCATATCCATTGTTCATGGTAAACGTATATGGGACAATAAATGATTGAATACGCTTACCTTGAACCATAGCATTGGTCGAACCCTTTATCCATCCGAAGTGTGCACCTTTATGTTCTTAACCATTTAATCTTATCCACATTGCTCATCGTTTCCACCTAACCCATTTCATTTTCTCTTCTTCTCTAACACTCAGGCTCTAGATGCACTACTAACCAAAGCAAGGATATCGATCATGTTAACGGAGCCGAATATAGAATCACATCTGGAGCCGCATCTGGAACCACACCTGGACTCGCTCCTGGATCTACCCACCATGTCTCTGTTCCAGACAGACAGCGTGTCCCCTTTTGATTACTATTGGAACGGTACGGATCTACCGCCGTTCCGGCCCAAAATGCCCTCCTCACCTATAGCATACACCATTATCATAGTCATGGAATTGGTTCTTGGAACGATGACAAATGGGACTCTTATCTACCTGGTTGCATCGGTGCGAGAGTTGCGGACATCACCGAACATCCTCTTGGCGAATCTTGCTCTCGGAGACTTCCTCTTTGTCCTCATAACTGGACCGCCAACTATAGCGCCCTCATACATGACAACTTCATTCCACTATTGCCGTTTGAATCATTTCTTTTATTTCACGTCGTTCGGCGTGTCATCGTTGAGTCTAACCGCGATTAGCATTGAGCGGTATTTCGCCATTGTGAAGCCTTTTCTTGTGCGTCGGTTGCGCATCATGCGCGCAACTGTTGTTATTTGCCTTATCATCTGGGGAATCGCCAGCGCGATCGCCTCGTATGTTTTCGTCGCGGCTTTGCCGTCGTTTCAAACCACCTGCACGTTTCGCTACGAGCACGTCTCCTATCACATCTACTACTTGTTACAGCTTGTGTTTATGTACGTCCTGCCTGTATGCTCCATGGCCATCTTTTACGGGCTCTGTGCCAAGAAGCTCCTTCTAGAAAAGACAATTCTACAGCGCAGACGAAGAGGGAGCGCGGATAGCAAGGCCAGGGTTCGAGTCTCAATCAACCTTTTCCTCATCACACTCGTGTTCACAATCTGCTGGTTGCCTCAGTATATCTACAGCGCATGGCTAATGTTTGGTTTCGACGTGTTTGTGTTCGGTACGAGGTCAATGAATATTTTTCGTCGCGCTCGTATTGTCATGTACTATCTGGCATCCTGTATCAATCCTATCATTCTTTACTCCATGAGTTCGTCGTTTCGGCAACACCTCGCGAGGAAGTTCGGTCTTCATCGGTTTACCCGAAGGGTCCCGATATCTAGCGAGGCCAGCGGACGCACCAGGAGTTCCGTCATCATTCGCACACCATCCCTACGTTCTATCCCCCAGATAAACCTTCCGTTGGTAGATAACACAAACAACATTGAGAACCATTACGTCCGTACTGCGTCAGACGCAGTGTGAACACGACTTCACGATCAACTATCATGTACATAAGATGCACATTCCATAACCAACCAGATTAAGGACAAAGATGTTAGGGATTCGAGTAGCCATTGGATGGAACACCTCTGCTTCATTGAACGGTGAATAAAGATTGATTTCAATTCGCAACTAAACGATAATTTCGTATTGTAAGCGAATCACATTGCCCTTTTTTTGAGATTTATCTGAATCATTATTCTTTCAACGCTCTAAAACGAGTGTCCGTTGCACATGGGGTGTCATTTTACTGACGCAGGTCAGCCTGAGCGACTTACGTGGTCTTTGAAATGTCACGTTTGCGTGGTATATTACACAAGATGAATGTCAAGTGAACAATGTTTAATTAACCGTCATAATACGGGCTGACTACCTCCACGGACTTGATGAAATCAGGTAATTACGAAATCGAAATGACACTTCGTAAGCAAGGGGCTTTATAGTCCCTGTGGGAAAGAAGATACACAGTGTTAAAAGAATAAAGAAGTAGACGCTGAATTACTGATTATGTGAACACACCTTGTATAATTTGATCCACAGTGTGCGTAATTGGTGTGTATTGGAAATGTTTTGACACTGTGGCTAGAGGTAGAAAAGTGTACCATCAGTGGGTGTTCACACTCTCTATCGTATTCGTAGTCTTTCCGCACAGTTTTCAATGTTCTTTTCGATTACTACTCGCGGATGACCCCAAAACAAAAAAAATTGTTCTGTTTAACCCATTTGGCAACTTTCTAGGCAATCAAACCACGAAATCAATTTGGTTTGAACAAAAATAGAAGAGAGAAAAAACAGATTGTTGAAAGTTGAACGAAGTCGGGTGAATAAAGTCATGATTTATTATAATTTAAATTCACAAGATATTATGGTAATTTTCAGACTGGTGAATCGGTAATAATATCCAGTGTAATGTGTTATCAGGAACAATACTCCCTTTTGAAATGACAAACACCATGAGTAAAAGATCATCTTTCGAAATTCTAGGACCGAGAAGGTACTTTTCTTTTGTTGGCGGACCACTCATAACTATCTACCCACAATATCATGTACGGCCCTAAGGGGGAAATATACTTGGGAGAAAACGGGATATACCACTCAGTAAAGAGGCAATGCGTCATTTCAAAATGTGCTTACATTTTACTGAACTCAATTTTCAATCATTTATCCATTCTTATTGTATTTTTTTGTCTCTGATTTTTTTTTCCTTCCATCAAAGTTAGAACCTTACGGTTGAATTCTTTTTTAAGACTGCAATCAATCAATCAATCAATCAATCATTAACTTATACATGATGCACACGAGTTGTCATTTTGATCGCGTTATTTCCAGGCAAATAGCCTTACGTCAAGGTCAACGCAACGTTGACACTGTACGTTTTGCAATCATTTTTGATACGATGTCACTCTCACGTGGTGCGTCAGAGATCACACCAGTCGCTGACGCAGTCAAACGTCAGGCAAATGACGCATAATGTACAACGGGCGTAACATTGCACTCATACTGATTCTTCAACCTATGGTTACACCAAATACCATTATACTGGTTTACTAGAAACCACTTCTCCAATCACAGCATGTATGATATCACTAGCACAACACTGAAGGATATATTCTTATCTTAAATGTACCGCTACAAAATACTGCAAGTGGTAAACTTAAGTAGGCCTATACATCCAATCAAGTTCAGCGAAAATATTAATGTTTGCGATGGCCCAAAACTATATATTGTACAACGATAACGACGACTACTACTACTACTACTACTACTACTACTACTACTACTACTACTACTACTACTACTGTATATACTCCTACTACTAACTGATGCTAATACTACTACTACTACTACTACTTCTACTACTACTTTTTTTTTCTTCTTCTTCTTCTTCTTCTTCTTCTTCTTCTTCTTCTTCTTCTTCTACTTCTACTAGTATTCCTACTGCGATTACTGCTACTGATATTGTCACTATTGCTACTACTACTACTACCACCCCACCAGTACGACGACAACTGCTGCTGCTGCTACTACTACTACTACTACTAATAATAATAATAATACCACTACTAATACTACTACTAATACCGATACTTTTTACTACTATTACTACTACGTATACTTCCATTAATTCTATACCACTACCACTACATTGTACTACTACTACTACTTCTTCTAATATGTCTGCGTATCCATCGCAACGATAACGAGAAATATTTACTAACCTTACACTACTACTACTACTACTACTACTACAAAATACTAAACAAAATCACTACTTCAACTACTTCAACTACAGGTACTACATCTATTTACATTGTCTGATGTGTTCAAGATCCCCTGTGGCTTATACTTGGACACTGTGGTCACGTGCGTTCACACGCATTAAAGGGATCGTTTAACAATGTTAAATCTGAGATACACGGTCCAGCATGTTACCAGTGTCTTTGAAATGGTGTAATATTGAAGCCCTAAAAAAATCGCGCTTCAAAATGATCAAAAAGTGCCTCAAAAAAGTAAAAATCTTTGAGTGACCGGTTTTACCATACTCGTTTTCCCTAATAGACTGTAGTGTTATGAAAACCGTCCGGCGAACGGTTTTCAAAATGTGTAATTCCAATCATTAATATCTTGATAATCAGACAGGCGATCGGCTTGTAAAAGTCATGGAGTTCCTGACTGACCTTAAGGTTTATAATTATCATTGCAGCATGAGCTAAATCAAGGATTATTTTTAAAGGGTCTTAGACAAAGTTACCGGATCCCCTAAAGTCCCACACTCCGTTACACAGAGTGTACACAAAGTGTTCACAATGGCCCACACTATGATAGTGATCCAAATCCACAATGTGGTCATGCTTTACCTGACTTTGTGTTCTTTCCTTAGCAGGGTTATTATTTATGTTATTAAAACAGCAACCGAATAAGCATAATTGTAGATTATTTCTAATTCTTGATCTCTTGTTTCTGTATTAATGTACATGTATATATTTCAAGTGTCGATACCATGCTACTAATTTTATAACTGCTTTTTATCATGTTTCAGCGGCTCATGTAATGTACATAATCATGAATGGTTAAGCCTTTTTCGTAGACTTGTTTGTGTATCAATTATGTGAATGAATTTAATTGAAATATATATGTAAATAAGCAAAGAAATGTATAGTAATTTATGACAGAGAAGAAGTATCAGATGGTATATTTTAATGTCGTTGTATTTAAGTGGTTTTACATATATGAACAGTCCATAATCGTGCATTGTCAATCTTTTATCCCGAAACAAACTTTCTCGTTTAGCTCCTATTCTTTCATCGAGCGGATCAAAATATTTACACAAAATTTCCCTTTTGACATGCCTGAGGTGCTTTTAAAAGTGTATTCTCAACGCATACACTCATTGAAGTAGTTACCAGAGAACAGTTGGCTATGAAAACTTCCCCTCTGGGTTTGTTATATATTTAATTTCCAATTTCGTATAAAGTTGGCTCCAGGCAATTTCTGTGATTTCGCTAACTAGTGAAAACATACAAAATATTGTTTTATTTTTCTAATCAACTCAATCGCCTTGACAAGCACTTAGCAAGATAACCAGATTTGTTTTGAAAAATCTAGTGGAAGAGAATAAAGAAGTGACATGTAACGTATTACTTTTTGCAAAGACTATAGAAATAGAAATTACACCAATGTATATACATCCGCATCAGCACCAAGCTGTATATAAAACGTGGTACATATCTTTTTTTCAATACGTACTTGTTTTGGGGGCATATATTGATCGGAGGTAAATACATGGTCGGATTTATAAAACTATTAATAATCTAGCTTTTTTCTTCGCTGAAGGCCCAATGCGCAAGTAGATGAACGGTCATCAAGTAGAAACATTGATCTTGCTATGTCAGGCATGCGTTTTGTGAACTGGCTTCAACATTTACATAGGCCAATTGACCTCAGATTTGCATCAGGCAACCACACAACGAAAAGACTAAGATCAGTTTCTGCATCAAAATCTTTGCATCTCAATATGTTCTTTAGAAATGTAGAAGCTAAGGGTAGTCATAATTGCTAGCAAGCAAAAGGGGCCTTGATTTTACTTGTTCAAAATCGCTTGGTTGAAATAGTATATAATGCAATTAAAAGCCAAGAAAAAACAGTTATTGCTGTCAGCTTACCCATATTTTTATGACTTCGACCCATTTCACCCTCTTTATGTGATTGGTTGTGTCACTCTTTGCAATAGTTATTACTTCTGCTAATGGAATGTTGTACAAATGGGGCCAGTTCCTCGAAATCATCATAAATCTAAGTTCGTGGACATCCCATAGAAGATAATTCTGTAATGCATTTTTCAGTGAAATGTCTAAGAAGTTAGACTGTTGACAGTTTCGAGAAAAAGCCCCTGGTTCTCACTTACTTTAGCCAGGTTATGTTACGAACGCACTTGTCATCATTTTTCAAAGATGTGCAGTTGTTTGATAATTTATTGTAGGGAAAATGTATCCGCCGTGTTTATGTTGCATGAATAACAATCATTCTTCTCAATATCATTATTATTGTCTCATTATTGTACTTCTTCATAAATATATGGTAAAGATCTTGCTTTACTATACTTCTTAAGATTAGAGAAAATGCTTATTTACTATCTCTTTAGAAACCCTAAAGTTACATTAATGCCAGGTTTTTTTTCTCGAATAGTAAAAGCGATGATCAGAAGAGCTGATCATGTTTACGTCAAGCAATGTATGGTGTATAGAGTGATCATTAAAACCAGGAAACCTTTAAAACTTCCTGAAATGGCTCCAAACAATAATATGCCTGTTACTTCTTGTCAGAAACACTATCAAAGGGTGTGCTATATATCACATTAATTCATCAAAAGAGACAACACATTTTCTCCCTCCCATCTGATCAGAAGAGCTGATCATGCTTACGTCAAGCAATGTATGGTGTATAGAGTGATCATTAAAACCAGGAAACCTTTAAAATTTCCTGAAATGGCTCCAAACAATAATATGCCCGTTACATCTTGTCAGAAACACTATCAAAGGGCGTGCTATATTTCACATTAATTCATCAAAACAGACAACACATTTTCTCCCTCCCATCTCATGCATACAACTAGAAAATGAAGATTATTATTACGTATCGAGTTTCTTCATAAATCTTGGGATGCAATCCGGTTTGTGGTTTGGGAGACGTGTCTTTGACGCACATGTCCGCAGCACGCCCTAGGTGGCGATTAGCAGACTGCTGGCCAATCATCTCAAAACAAGGCTCGAGCAAAAGTGACAACTACTCCGATGACACGATTTGCGACGCCATTCTCTGTTTTTCCATCATACAAAAAGTGTCATTGATACTCATATTTCTGGCCTTGGAGAGATGATATTATTGGATTTGATATGCGTGAGATAGAATCAGTCGGGGTGGTTTGGCTTTTAACAGCTTTGATATGTGGTCAACTACAGAGAGCTGTAAAGAGGACTCAGAGGGGGCCCCCTCTCCATTAGAATGTCTATTAATGCGTTCAGATATAACTGCGGGGAGTAATGTGTTGTGGTGATGAATTTAACAGCATGTTGTCATATCATTCCTTTAATGAGAACGATCTATTCAAACGACTTCATGACTATACAAGTTTGTCAGGTTTGCAAAGCACTTAAAAAAGATACGTGGATCTTTTTTCTCTCGGTAAAGTATACATCACTTCTCCTCACCCCCCCCCCATCCATCAGGCACTTTTTAAACATAAGACCAAGTCAATGACTTTGATCGGAGATTCAACGTTATCGTTAAGGCTATTACAACATAATCTGACTTAACAACATTCAAGACGATGGATCTTTAGTCGTAATATCACTTTTGTAACAAAATCTTTAAACGAAATAAATTCAGACAAGAATATCGGAAAAGAGAAATTCATTTTATGTAGTCGTGTTGCACGATTAGCTTAATTTTACGTGATGAGGTTGACTTTTGGCGCTCCATAAATCAGTAGACTAAATCTACACATTTAAAGGAAGATCCATAATCAATCATTTATTTTGAGTTGTGCGCCGAGTCAGAAGGCGCTTAGGAAAATAGCTGACCAAATTGCCAATAAGAGATTCGCCGAGATCCAGTGATTTGATATTTTATACATTCATCCCTTTTTTTATTATTGGTCCGATATATTTCAAACTTTTGCCGTTCTGTTTCTTATTTTGTTCTGTTTTGATACAAACGAACTTCAAGGTTTGGATTGCCCTTTAAATTGGAATTCAGCTCGCTTTTCTAATAATTGAAATCTTATCCATTTAGCAATATTCTAGTCAGTTGTTCACTAGACGGTCTGTCTGGGTATTTTCTTACAAGTTAACAAATCATTTCTGCACCAGTTACTTTCCTATAATATGACTATTACGAATCATTAAATAAGTAATAATAGGCCTCTCTCTCATCTTCTATTTTCTCTCTCTCTCTCTCTCTCTCTCTCTCTCTCTCTCTCTCAGTTCCTCATTTTGTTTCTATTGCACCCACCCATACACACACGCACACGTCTCTCTCTCTCTCTC